CAGGGGACAGGGCACCAAGCAGCCAGACCTGCCTCTCACCTACCGTCCCCTGGGACGCGTTCCAGCCGTGCCACCAGCCTGCCCCGCTCCAGGGCCTCGGTCACCACCCCTGCCAGCCCCCTGGCTGACTGAGGCGCACAGTAGCTTTCCCAGCACGCTGTGCTTAGACCCCAATCACTCCGGCCGCGAGCTGGGGGAGATCTTAGCCCCGTGGCTTCCTTTCACAGCCCTCGCCCGACGCCTGCCCCTCAGCCTGTTTGATGTGGAGGGAGCCTGTCTCTGGGCCACTGCACTTCTCAGCCACGGCTGCAGCAAATCCCTTGGAAAAGGCAGCTTCCAATTACCTCAGCATCCAAAGGCCTAGTCGCTTGCCGGCTCCCCCTTGGGGCAATTCCTCTCAGCCCCTCGCCCTGGAGAAGCACCTCTCAGCCCAGGGCCCCCTCTCATGCAGCCATCTCTGGGGCAGAACGCAGTCACAGTACAACCCTGCAGCAAGCCCACCCAGGCAGAGAGGGGAAAGGGCAGGCCAGCTAAGCTGCAGGGTGAGTGATGGAGGCAGAGGGCTTTTCTCTGGCCTGGGAAGCTCTTGCTGGCCCCTAGAAAATTCCCATTATCTCTGGGGACCCCTGCTTCACAGCCTGGCTAGCTTCCCCTCCAGCCAATATAGTCCAGACACAGGGGCGGGGGCTGCCCCATGTGGGGAAGGAAGGAAAGCAGGCCCCCCTCTCCCATCGCTGTACCATACAACAGGATCCTCTCCCTCATGAGCCCTGTCTGGGAACGGGCCCAGTGTCGGCCCTCACGCTAGGCCCCTGCCACAGGACTGGATCCCTGATCCCGGAAGGGGCATTCCCACCTCCCCGGGCCGCTGAAACCAAGCACGGACACCAGGGTTCAAAGCAGAAGAGCGTGTATTGCAGGCGGCCGCCACGGACAGCCCAGGCCTGGTGCCACCGGAGCGCCTCCGAAAGGCCTTCCCCCAGCCAGCGGCAAAGAACAGAGGGTGCCCAAGCAAGCCCGGCCTCTGTGGGGCATATGCTGCATCATGCAAAGGGTGCCGGCGCCAGCCCCAGTGGCCTGAGGGGACGAGAGCCCAGCCACCCATCTCAATGGGAATCTGGCCCCCTCAGCTGAGAGAGGGAGCACAGGCCCCTGCCGTGGAAAGCAGAGAGCTGGGGGTCACAGAAAACAAGTGGCTCTATTTCTCCAAAGGAGCCTGCCTTCCCCCTGGCTCTTGGTACAAAGCGAGCTCAGTGTTTGGGCTTTAGGCCCGTGGCTGAGCAGAAACAGGGCAGGGAGGGTTTTTTTGTTTTGTTTTTTCTTTAAAAAAAAAAAAAAAATGCCATTCGGTGGGGTTGGGGGAGCTGTGTGGGAAGATGTGTAATACCCACAACCCCCTTCTGCCTGGCAGAGGGACTCCACCCCATGCTGGGAGGGAGAAGTGGGTTCTGAAGGGATCCCCGCACCCCCCCCCCAATAAATGACACTCGCATGCAAAACTCCAACGTCCCATCAGGAAAGCTGGGGAATGGGTCCCCTCATTGAGAGAGTCCTATAAAGTCCAGGATGCAGAGGCCAGCGATGGCTCCAGCATCCGGCATAGCCTCCCTGTGTCTCTGAGGAGCTCTGGTCAGCTCTAGGACAATTAAAAACTACTTCAAACCCATGCAAGGCTGCTATTTGCTTGTGTGTCTGTCTGTCTGTCTGTCTGTGGCTGCCAGTCTCCGTGACAACCAAGTTCCACTCCTCCTCAAAAAAAGGGGGAAAAAATGAACACAGGGGCCCTGCCCACATTGGGTTTCCCCTCCCCTGCTGCCTCATCTCTCGGCCTCCATGGTCACGTTGGCCTTCTGTTCGGACGTGGCTTGTTGGGAGACAGTGGCGGGCCAACCCGAGGGCTGCGAGGGTGAGGGCGAAGTCCACATGCTCTGCTGCAGCTGGCTGGAGGGGGATGCTGCAGGCCAGGCTGGGTTGAAGCCCCCGGGGTGGGGGAGCGGGTGGCGGGGGGGAGGAGGGGAAGTCGCCATGGATGCCACAGGGCTGCTGCTGTTGAAGCTCTCGGAGGCCTTGAGGCGAGAGAACATGGTGAGGGCGTCGGGGAAGTTGGGGGGGGTGGCGGGGGTGTTGGGAGGGGGGCA